TGACAATCTTTCTTCTTCTTCTTCTTCTCGACCTTCTCCTTGGGTTTTTCTTCCTCCTTTGGTTTAACCTTTTCTTCTGGCTTTTCTTCTTCTTTCGGCTTTGCCTCTTCGGCCGGCTTCGCTTCTTCCTTGACTTCCTTCTTCTTCTTCTCGACCTTCTCCTTGGGCTTTTTCTTCCTCCTTTGGTTTAGATGTCAAGGAAGAAGAGATGCCGACAGAAGAAGAGGAAGAGGAAGGTGAGCTATGGGGGAAGCGGGGAACAGTTCGAAACGGTGTTTCTGAGCCCATGATGAGAATCAAAGCTCACTATCATGTTCTGTTCCCTCCACACCACCACATGCGCAAACATAGCGTTCCACTCACACTACTACTCAAGTACTTTAGCCATTCGCTTGACGCCTTTTAATGCAGATAGTGGTGGTGCATTGTGTTAGCCCATTAGTAATAGGCGTTTTTTTCTCATTCGGAAAATCGCGCTAAAGGCGAAACGTTTTGCTACTGAGTTTGATACTGTTTTGCAGAAGATTCCTTGCCCTATACGAAAAACTTGATAGCTTTTCTGGACTCGGAATGGGCACTTTCAACAGCCTCTCTCTTCTACTTCTAATCAAAAAGCTGAAATCCCACAGGCATATCTACTGCGTATGAAGAGCATTTCAGAGCATTTCAATTCTAATCTCACAGACAACCATCGAACCTAATTCCCTATTTGGTCGAAATGAGAGCTTATTGAATCATCTTATTAATGGAGATTCATACCGAGGATGGGGAATCGAGGTCATGGAATGCTTCCTTATCATAATTAAGCATCACACCTCAGCTGATGTTAGACGCTCGGGAATTAGTGGGCAGTTCCTGTATGCAGTCGCTACCAAGACGGCAGCGCATGCGATGCACATTTACAAGCTCCGAATCCGTAAGAATCATCTTTCCTTGGTACTATCTACCACAAGCTTAAAGTTTCTCCTCACCTTGAGAGCAGAGATAAAGGGCAAAAAGTTACTGTCGAGAACTCGTTTTTCTGTCAACCCATTTCAATGGAACTCCAATGGAATAAAAATCAACAGAAATCAAAAAATAGTATGAAGGTTACTAGTGGTACAGGGCTCAATGGAAACGATTTTCGCTTACCATCTAGAAATTTTTGTAAGAAAAAACGCCATTGGTAATGGGCCAACCCAGTAATAGAAGGAAACTTCGAAAAATTCTTGACTGAAAAGAGTATCAAAACTTACTACGAGAGAACAATTTACCAGGCCAAAAAGCCAAGATTCTTGTTGTTTTCATTCCATTTCATTTTTTCAGGTCTCTTCATTTCGCAACATCCTGCTCCGCAAAGTATCACCGAGAGCGGTCAGAGAGCCATTTTTGCTTGTCAGTTCAACCGACCACCTCACACTTTGAAATGGTTCCGTGATGACCGAGAACTATGGGCACAGAAAGAAAAGATCGAGATCGAGACCAGCGACCAAGAATCCATACTCATTATTCATAATGTTGACGAACGTGATATCGGGCACTACTTCGCATTACTTGACGATGAACACAAGTCGAACGCAGCAGAACTGATCTACTACACAGAGCCATTACTCTGCTATGATGGCCCCAGCGGTCCGATTACCGCTGGAAAACACTTCGATTTCACTGTTGCATTCAGAGGATATCCAGCGCCACGATTGGAAATGCTGCTTGATGACGTCGATTTGAGAGTGGTGGCTGATGTAGAGACGTATGACGATTTTGTCTCGGTTCGAGTGAAAAACGTGAAGAAGACTTGTCACGTGCGGTTCATAGCAAGAAACGAGCATGGCGAACGGTCGCTTGATATTCCCATTGAGGTCTTCGATGTGCCCTCTGAGCCACTAAATGTGACAGCGAGTGATATCAGCTCCACAAATGCCACAATTTCGTGGACGGCACCTACGTTCACCAACGGAGCACCAATCATAGAATACTGCGTGGAGCGGAAATCACTCGAGTTCTCCCGTTGGCGAACTGTTGGGCATGTGCCGGCAGAACGTTGCTCATTTATCGCCAGTGACCTGTTACCGAATGAATTCTATGCGTTCCGTGTGAGCGCTGTCAATTCTATTGGGCAAGGAAAACCAAGCAAAGCCGTAGACGTCGAAACAGCTGAAGAAACAGAAGGTAATTCAGTTTTCTCATTTTTAAGAAAAGCATGACAAACAACTACTTCCCCCGTTAACCCCAGTAAGGAAATTGATATATATCACTGTGACCGTATATCCTGATATCTCAAACATACGACAAGAACGTCTATCTGAGAGTTACTGATGCTTTCTTCTCGAATATTGTTTTTTTTAGAAGAATTCGAGTTCTCTCTCGAAGACGAAAGAGCTACTAAAGCGATCGAGGATGAAGAGCAACAACAAGAGGAAGTTGATGTGGGTTTTTCTGTTATCAGCTCTCCCGTTAAACTTGTAGCAGGCCAACAGGCACCAGACTTGCTCTATTTCCATTCCTACGACTTTGATTTCAAGGCAGACATTTTTGGCTTAGGAATGAAAACCCAATGTTCAAAAACCCAGAAACTTATGACCTGCTATCATCTTCATCGCTTACAATTGTCTGGAAATTTCTTGCCAATCTGGAGATTACTAGAAACGAAAATTTCTAAGAAAAACGGTCCACTAGATGGTAGTTTTTTCTTTGCTTAATATGCGGTTGCGTTCGGGACATATCCTTTGTGGAGGCGAAGCGGCTTTGAAGAAGATGAAGGTAGGTAAAACTACTGGCCCCGACGACTTGACAGCAAACTTGCGGAAAACACAGCAGTGGCACTCGGCAGAATGGTTGACGAAACTCTTCAACCAGATCGTCGCAGAAAAGAAGGTGCCAAGGGCTGGCAGCAGAGCACGACGATTCCGATTTGGAAGAAGAAGGGCAGCCCGGCAGACTGCTGCTCGAACTACCGTCCAATTCGCCTTCTCTCGCACACCATGAAAATCTCCCAGCGAACTGTAGCCCGTCGATGCCATACACGCCACTCTCCTTCTGCTGGAGAAACATCGTGAGAAGCGAAAGCCTGTGCATGTAGCCTTTCTAGATCTGGAGAAAGGCATTTGATCGCGTGCCACGAGACGTTATATGGTACGCCTTGCGACAACACGGTGTCCCTGAAGAGCTAATCGAGTGGGTCCGCATCCTTTATTCAAAGCCAGAGAGCCAAGTGCGGACTCTTGCAGGCACTTCGATAGGATTTCATATCAGTATCGCGGTACACAAGGGCTACGAACTCTCCCACTCCTTTCTTCGTCGCAATTGATGTCATCCCCTGAGACCTTTAGAAAAAAGTTCCTTGGACGCTTCTTTACGCTGATGATGTGATGCTTGCATGCGAAGATAAAGTACGCTAGAGCAACAGGTGCAAGCTTGGGCTGATCGCTTGGCGAAGTTTGGGCTCAGATTGAACGTCAAAAAGACCGAACCGACCCAAGCGAGACAGGCTCTATAAAAATCGATATCAATGAGCCCACGCGTACAAAAACATTCAAGTATCTCGACAGCAATTACGTCCGATGGAGGTCCTATTTCGGAAGTGAACGCGCGTGTGAGCGCAGCATGGATGGCGATCCATGTGTGGGATTCTTCGCGACAGGAAGATGCAGAGCACTTAAAGTCGAAGATCTACAGAAGTGTCGTTCGACCAGTCGCCCTATATGGTGCCGAGTGCTGGCCCGCTACCAAAGAAGTCGAAGCCCGTCTAGTGTGATGGAGACGAGAATGTTGCGTTGGACTGCGGGCATCACGAGTTTGGACCGCATTTAGAATGCGAAATGCGCTTTCGATGGTACGGCCTTGTACTTCGCGTAAATGCTGGTAGCGTCTATAACATTAATTTCAAGCTTGAGGTACCCGGAAAGCGGCCCAAGGGACGTCCCAAGCAGCGTTAGCTCGATAAGCTGGCAAACAGGCTTTAAAGTGATTGGAACCCACCCCGACCAGACATTTAATCGGGATAGATGGGTCATAATATCAGAAGAGCGGACCCTGCTACCGAACGGTACAAACGCTAGAAGAATGAGAGAGCGGAGAGTTTGCTGTCTTCACCGTGTGATCTTAATCCCATTTTCATGGTAAGGTCATACGTATTGTTAGATAAAAAAGAACTTCTGTAGGTCTTGTTTGCATTCCTCCGAAGACATTTCGTTCATGGAAAGTTACGGGGATTGGAGCAAATGCTGTTCCGATAGGACATTGAGGGAAACGTAGCATTCAACTTATGAATCCACTCCATGGGCGCGTGCGAAGAGAGACATCAACGCAGCTCCAATAACTTTTACCGCGCCTAAAGGTCCAGCATTACTTCGAAAGGAGGGCAATAAGCAGTTATCTTACTCTGGACCATTCTTTCATTCTCTTGTTATTCCGGATGAAATTAGCTCACGATTTGGAGAACCGAGAACCCTTATCTCTGAGACCAATATCACAACAAAAAGCTTCGTCCCATCTAGAGAGTGTAAATTGTGATTGTGCTATGACGAAACTCTCGGATTTCCTTCAAACTGCCCTGTTGAGTTTGATATTCCTCAGAACTGACTTCTTTATTGTGTATCACAAGCTCATAAAAAATAATATCCTTCAAATATCACCTACGATAGAGTTCAACCTCCAGGTACGGTTCAGAAAAGGTTTGAGATCAAGAATCAAGTCCCTGGTGGGGCTAGGTGAGGAAGGTGCCCAAACGCCAAGATAATATCCAAAGGACAGTTAGTTTTTCATAATTAGCTAAAGTTGATACTATGAGTTTCGTCCCATCTAGAGAGTGGTAATTAGCTTGTGCTATGACAAAACTCTCGGATTTGCTAATCGTAGACCGTTGTAGAGTAACTGGAGGGTTGCGCTTCTCAGAAACGAATCCATCCCACCTCAAAAAAACTTGAACCGGTCACGCTGGTTCTCTTTCCTTTGCAGCATTGGCTCCTTGAACAACAAATGTCTTGTTTTCGAAGCTAAACTGCATTTCTGCCCTTTTTTAGAGAAAAGAGAAATTTAGCTGCTGGAGACTCATATATTGGTACTCTAGTTTTACAGCTGTCCTAGGCAAAACGACTCAACGTGTGCTGGCAAAAAAAACAAATTTGTGCTAAGGCACTCAAAATCACAAGGAATTTCCAGACAGCGCAGCCTTGTTCCGCAGCACTCTACGTACAGCTACTCAGATAACGAGGAATGATGATATGCGGTGGGGGGAGGTGAGGGGGGGGGTAGAATGGTGAAGCATCAAGGCACATGGTTGTGCAGTTCTCAGCAGGGGTCATCCTTTGTCGCTGTGGGAGAGTGAGACGTTTTTAGTGGCATGGAAAAAATTTTCCGATTGTTGATGTTTCCCGTTTCACGCGCTGTGCCCCCTCCCCCCACACCTCCCCAGATAGCTATTGGAGGTGCCTACCATCTTTCACTTGAAGGCAGGATATTGGGAGGATTTGGGAGCTACCTTGTAAGAGGATCCGAAATAGATCCCATGTGGGGTAGGAGGCGATAGAGGACGAGAACTGCTTAACTAACTATGTAGAGGGGAGGAATTCCTGTGCTTGCTTACGATCCGAGCATTAATAGTAAGCTTCTATCTAACAATGTTATTCTTTATAAAATTATTTTCAGCATATCGAGACCCAAGAGATGAAGCTAGAAGAAATAGTCGAAAACGGCGAAAAGACTACAAAGGAAGTTGAAGAAAAGGTACAACTGAAAGATGAAGAAAAGCCAGAAGAAGAGGTTAAACCGAAGGAGGAAGAAAAGCCAGAAGAAAAGGCTGAGAAGAAGAAGAAGAAGAAGAAAGAAGTCAAGGAAGAAGTGAAGCCGGCAGAAGAAGCAAAGCCGAAAGAAGAAGAAAAGCCAGAAGAAAAGGTTAAACCGAAAGGAGGAAGAAAAGCCCAAGGAGAAGGTCGAGAAGAAGAAGAAGGAAGTCAAGGAAGAAGCGAAGCCGGCCGAAGAGGCAAAGCCGAAAGAAGAAGAAAAGCCCAAGGAGAAGGTCGAGAAGAAGAAGGAAGTCAAGGAAGAAGCGAAGCCGGCCGAAGAGGCAAAGCCGAAAGAAGAAGAAAAGCCAGAAGAAAAGGTTAAACCAAAGGAGGAAGAAAAGCCCAAGGAGAAGGTCGAGAAGAAGAAGAAGAAGTCAAGGAAGAAGTGAAGCCGGCAGAAGAAGCAAAGCCGAAAGAAGAAGAAAAGCCAGAAGAAAAGGTTAAACCAAAGGAGGAAGAAAAGCCTAAGGAGAAGATCGAGAAGAAACCAGCAGAAGAAAAGCCAGAAAAGAAGGTCGAGAAGAAGAAGAAAGAAGTCAAGGAAGAAGAGAAGCCGGCGGAAGGAGCAAAGCCGAAAGAGGAAGAAAAACCCAAGGAAAAGGTCGAGAAGAAGAAGAAGGAAGTCAAGGAAGAAGCGAAGCCGGCGGAGGAAGCAAAGCTCGAAAACAAGAAGAAAAGTCAGAAGAGAAGGGTAAACTAAAGGAAGAGGAAAAGACAAAACAGAAGGCTGAGAAGAAAAAGGAGCTCAAAGCCAAGTCTCCCGAAAAGAAAGAGGAAGCGGAGGTTACCAAGAGGGAAGATATGCCACCTGATGTGGAGGAGAAGATAGTAGACGAAAGTCCTGGCAAGAAAAAGAAAGTTCCAAAACCTCTTGTTATTCCGGATGAAATTAGCTCACGATTCGGAGAACCGAGTACCCTTCTCTCTGAGACCAATATCACAACAAAAATCACCGCTAGAGAGGGTAGTGCCGAAGCTGTTTCACCTCTCAAACAACCTCAATCAGCAAGTATCACAATGAAAGTAGACAGCGCCAGTAAAATACTCTCGAGAGGCGGCACTCCTGATAGTGATGCGGTTGAGTTCACGTTCAAACGGCGTTCAGAAACTCCAGAGTTGATCAAAGAGGAACCTTCAACGAAACTCAAGGTGCCGCTCAAAGGCAAGGACAAATCCGGTCTTCCACCTAAACCAGAACAGGAAGGTGAGGCTAGAAAACCGTCAAAGGACATCAAGAAAGAAGACATACCCGAAGATTCCAAGCAGAAGGAAGAGGTGGAGCCAGTAGAAGAAGATATGCCAGAAGAAAAGATGAAAGATGCAAAGCCGAAAGAAGAAGAAAAGCCAGAAGAAAAGGTTAAACCAAAGGAGGAAGAAAAGCCCAAGGAGAAGGTCGAGAAGAAGAAGAAGGAAGTCAAGGAAGAAGCGAAGCCGGCCGAAGAGGCAAAGCCGAAAGAAGAAGAAAAGCCAGAAGAAAAGGTTAAACCAAAGGAGGAAGAAAAGCCCAAGGAGAAGGTTGAGAAGAAGAAGAAGAAGAAGGAAGAAGTAAAGCCAGCAGAGGAAGCAAAGCCGAAAGAGGAAGAAAAGCTGGAAGAAAGGCTCAAGCCGAAGGAAGAAGAAAAAATTGAAGAGAAGGTCGAGAAGAAGAAGGAGGGAGCCAAGGAGGAAGTGAAGCGGGCCGAAGAGGCAAAGCCGAAAGAAGAAGAAAAGCCAGAAGAAAAGGTTAAACCAAAGGAGGAAGAAAAACCCAAGGAGAAGGTCGAGAAGAAGAAGAAGGAAGTAAAGGAAGAAGCGAAGCCGGCCGAAGAGGCAAAGCCGAAAGAAGAAGAAAAGCCAGAAGAAAAGGTTAAACCAAAGGAGGAAGAAAAGCCCAAGGAGAAGGTCGAGAAGAAGAAGAAGGAAGTAAAGCCAGCAGAGGAAGCAAAGCCGAAAGAGGAAGAAAAGCCAGAAGAAAAGGTTAAACCAAAGGAGGAAGAAAAGCCCAAGGAGAAGGTCGAGAAGAAGAAGGAAGTCAAGGAAGAAGCGAAGCCGGCCGAAGAAGGCAAAGCCGAAAGAAGAAGAAAAGCCAGAAGAAAAGGTTAAACCGAAAGGAGGAAGAAAAACCTAAGGAGAAGGTCGAGAAGAAGAAGAAGGAAGTCAAGGAAGAAGTGAAGCCGACGGAAGAAGCAAAGCCGAAAGAAAAAGAGCCGAAAGAGAAGGTTGAGGAGAAGAAGGAAGAAGCCAAGGAAGAGGTGAAGCCGGCATTAGGAGCTACACCTGAAGATAAGGCTAAGCCTAAACGTAAGGTAAAGAAGGATGCTAAGGAAGAACAGAAGAAAACAGAGGAGGAGAAGGAAGACTTTGGAAACTCGAAAAAGATCAACAAAAGATAAGAATTGAGGTCACGGACACGCAAGAAAGAGAAGCTGACTTAAAAGATAAGCCATCGGAGGACGATGTTTCAGCAGAAGTTACTCTGGAGATGATTCCAGATGTAGTGGAAAGAATTTTGCTCGAGGAAGAGACTCTAAGCAGTCGATCTTCTAGAAGGTCGTCTGGAACTTCCAGTATTGAGAGTTACACCGTTTCCAGGCGTAAAATGAGGAAAGATGGTTTCGTATCAACACCGGGAGCAGAAGTGTTGGCACTGCGGGGCGATACCGTGCGTTTCGAATGCGAACTGGTGGATGAGAACGATGAGGTGGAGTGGCTCATCAATGGTAAGCCATTTACGACTGAGCCAAGAAGTAAGAAGGAGTCCAGTGGACCTATCAGGACACTGATAATAACGGACCTTAAACCAGAAGACACAGGAATGATGGTGGAGGTTCGTTTGGGAGTTAATGGTGCAACGTCAAGAATTACAGTGGAAGAAACATTCGCCGAAATTACAAAACGCTTGGAACGCAGAACAGTTGGCAAGGAGAACGAGCCTGTCATTCTGGCTATTGAACTGGACCACGCTCCAAAGGACGTCAAGTGGACCAAGGATGATAAGGTAGTGACGGACTCGGAAAAATACGAGATCACATCAGATGGAACCTCTTGTCGGCTCACAATCAAAAATGCTGATTTCGATGATGCAGGGCAGTATGTTGTCGAGGCTGATGGATCCAAATCCTACACGAATCTTATTATTTCTGGAAAACCAAGAATAAAGCCAAGTGCTAAGGAATTGATAGAGGTTGAAAGGGGTGAGAGTGTTATTCTGAGTGTTGGATTTGAATGCCAAGATGATGTGAACGCTACGTGCTTCCTAAATGGAAATCTGCTGCGAGAAGATGCAAAGACCCATGTGGATGTTCTGGAAAACCTCGTGAAGTTCTGCAAACGACAAGTGACGAAAGCCGATTCTGGAGAGTACACAATAAAGCTGTCAAACGAACTCGGAGAAGCTTCGGAAGTGTTCACCGTCAAAGTCAAAGGTTTGTTGAAAATTCAGCTAAGGAAAAAAGTTACCCAGGTAGTTTTTTACTTCAGATGTACCTGGACCTCCTGCAAACGTCTGCGTCAATGAGATAGATAGTGACTCCGTTTCAATAAGTTGGGAAAAGCCACTGGATGACGGTGGACAACCCATAACGGGATACTTGATCGAAAAGAAGGAAGAAGGCCGTAGAACGTTCCATAAAGTTGCTCATGTAAGAAAAGAAGGTATTGTATTCATAGAGGATTGATTGAAATATCTTATTTTCAGGTTTCCGGTGCCAAGACTTCTTATACCGTGGAAGATCTCGAGATGCTAACCAGTTACAAACTGAGGGTATCTGCGGTTAACAAATACGGCAATGGAGAACCATGCGAATCTGCAGTGGTACTTTCACACAAATTTCTTTTCAGAAGAATGTTTCTGGGTTTCCGCATTAAGGGGTAGTCCTATAATATTAAATGGGAACTACAGAAAATCTTTTACAGGTCACCACAGGCACCTCTTTCAAAGCTCCACAAATCACTGAGCAACCTATCATTTCCGACGTTAGTGACAGCACTTGTGTACTGAAATGGAATAAACCTACAGAAGACGGCGAATCACCCATATATGGCTACGACGTCTACGTTCGGGAGAACGGCGGTGAATGGATGAAGGTTTGTGTTCCCTTAGCCAAGAAAAAAGTTAAAATCACATCTGAATCCTTTCTAGATGAACAGCGATCTGGTCTTCGCCAATCGCTACGTAGTGGAAGATTTGCGCCCTGACATCAGCTACGAGTTCAAGGTAGAAGCGGTAAATGAAGCTGGTCTGACGTCAAGCTCGAACCTGGCGTCGGAAACACTGCTTATTGCACCTAACCTTGGTACGTTTCAATCATTTTGCGAGGCATCGCAAGAACGCCTTTGGAAGATCTCTGTAAAAGCTAGAACATCCCGTGCAGGTCGTCCCTCTGCGATCCTTGACATTTGAGTCACGTTTAGAAGCGGTAAATGAAGCTGGTCTGACGTCAAGCTCGAACCTGGCGTCGGAAACACTGCTTATTGCACCTAACCTTGGTACGTTTCAATCATTTTGCGAGGCATCGCAAGAACGCCTTTGGAAGATCTCTGTAAAAGCTAGAACATCCCGTGCAGGTCGTCCCTCTGCGATCCTTGACATTCCACGAGTTGCCATCACGGGTGAGAACAGTATCACTGTGGAATGGGATGGATGTGATGAGGAACCAGCGGCCGAATACACCGTCGCTTACAAATCCGAAGGATCATCGATTTGGACTGAGGTAAGTCACATAGGTTTGCTAGACTTAGAACCAAAAACTGTGCTGATTGTAGTACTTTTCTACGGGGCTCGCGTTTGGGACATGAAATCCTTTTTTGCCTGCTGGAGGTTATCTGCTGGACCTCAGAAACAAGACTTTTTCCAGCAATGGTCAGCATTACTGAAAAGGGGTTCGAGTGTGTAATGATTCGACTCCCTGCACTGAGGAAATTACGGACTGGCAGAGGGGTAACGCAGATAACGCGTTAAGACGATGAGTACTGTATTCAGAGCACGTCGTTAATTGGGAAACTCCAGTGTGCAGTGGGTCGTATTTTCGTTCGAGCAAGCGTTTTGTTTCTAGTCCCTAACTTTCCACATTATTTCTAGTGCGCTATGTGCCGTCTCCCCCGCGCCCCCCCCCCTTTTTTTTTCGCTCAACGGTAGTTTTTTGTGGGAAAAGAGGGGGAATTGAAAAAAACCAGAAAATTGGTAATAAGTTGGGAAAATCTAGGAAAAGGTGGGTAGGATGGGAAAGTTGGGAAGGAGTGGGTCAAAGGAGGCATTCCTGAGGTGGGACGTTTTTTTGCAAGAAATTTCCCCAGCGGCAGACATGCTGTGATTGGACGACGCGGTAATATCACCCCTTTTACGATAGCTGATCGGACACTTCCCCGCTCTAATCGAGACACCTTTAACCTGCGCAGCTTCCTTTAAATACTTGGTGCTACAAATACCCCGTATATAACTTGACGATTTCGCCTTTGGGAAAGGGGAGGGCACTAGGGGAGGGCTCCAAATTGTACTCAGCGACCTTGTACAAACCACAGCTTGTACAAGTTGTGAAGGCCTAATTTGCTGAGAATAAAGTGGCTTCCTTGTACCACTTGGAAGCTTCAATGGAGTTTGCTGGAGTCAACAGAGTGAAATTTAAGGTCAACATGAACTAGCAAAAGGAATTGCTAAAAGTGCAAAATATCCCTCTCCCCAGTCGAACAGTGCCTCCTTTTTACTTCCTATGACCGCCTAGGAAAAAAACCTGACTCCTGCGCATAGCACGCACATACCGAACGAAATATGAGGGATTCTCTAGGAAAACGTCCAAAGCGACCTCCTCGTTACGGAAGCGGTGTAGTACATTACGTTAAAGTGTGAGTTCCTAAGTATAGCTCTGCCATATTCAGGTCAACTGCCAGTCGAACACTTGCGCAGTCACAGATCTGAAGGAGGGAGTGTCCTATGTGTTTAAAGTTGCTCTCCGAAACGAAGGAGGTACTGGAGAGTTCTCCGAAGAAACTGAACCTGTCAAAGTTACTCGTAAGTCTATGGTAGCACTTATGAAATTGGTCAGAGTGAATCTTGAAATGTTCCTATTTTTCAGCCAAAGTTCCTCCAATCATCACTAAACCGATCCGATCCGCTACCATTCCAAAGAAACGCGCATTGCAACTTGAATGCCATGCAACTGCTGAGCCCTCTCCCGAATACATCTGGTACAAGGATGGAAAAGAAATCATTCCTCAGAACGCAAATACTGAGGTGAGTTTAGCCCGTGGTGGTAGGATACGGAAGATGTTGGGGTTCCAGAGAAAACAAAACTATTCAGGGGCACGATGAACCAGATGGTGCTCGTGAGAGCCTCACTAGGATGCCTGATGTATGCCCCAAACGATGTTTATCTTTCCTCCTCCCAATTTTGGGGTTTCGAAAGTTCCATTTCATGGAAGGAAGAGGAAGCTGTATAAACACGGCATGTTTTCTCTACTCCGTGACGTTCCCTCATTCCTGGATCCGGTGCCAGCAGCTTGCTGACGCAGTAATTCCCCATCGTGTCAGCGGTGTTCTTCCCGCTCCGTGCGGTCGACGACATTCTTGACGGGGGCGGATGACATGCACCTCCCAGACGGAGAATGGGGGTGGAACATCGGCGGCGCTGCGTAACCTCTGGTCAGGGAGGACAAGTTCTCGTTCCCGTTTGCCATCGGGTGACATCATGGACTTTCCCGGTGAATCGAAAAGTCGCTGGCTGCCAGACGTGAGAGACGACTGTCCTCGACCGGTGGCTTCCTAGGCGTCCACGCCATGGCGCATGGGCCGGGATATCACAGTGTGCTCAAAGGCCATGATTGCATTCGCGAGAGGACCTTTTCTGTCCCTAGTGACCATCTGTTTCCAAAGTACATTGCTGTTTCTAATACAGTTTGGAGTTTCCATGTAATTTTCCAAGTTTTGAACAACTAGCTCAGTCCACTTCTTTTCCAGATTATCAATGAAGGCTACATGAGCCTTCTCATAATTCACAGCGTAGACACTAGTGACGCAGGATCGTACGCTTGTGAAGTAGAGAACCCACACGGATCAGCGCAGTGCTCTGCAACAGTCACCGTAACAGGTTTGTAGCCCATTGTACATTGTATTCATGCCAATACCAGCTTTTCAAGAGGTCCTTATTTCAGATGTGCGATGCCATTTCGAGTCGTCCTTCTCGGAATACATCGAGGTTATCGAAGGACAAGACATCGAGCTTTGTTGTACCCTGTCCGATGAAGATGGTGTGGTTGTTTGGTACAAGGACGGTAAGGCGCTCCAAGAAGACGATCGCATTCTTATCTCATCTGATGGTACGAAACGGAAGTTCAAAATATTGGCCGTCAGAGACACCGATAAAGGAACATATCGCTGTGAAACTTCTGATGGAAGAAGCAGAACCGAAGGGGAACTGATGGTAAAAGGTAAAATCTCGGCATCTTTTGCATGTTTAATGAAGTATACACTATAGAAAAACGTGTTTTTCAGAAGAAGAACCCCACATTAGCGTTGGTCCACAAGATCTCACAGTCAACAAGTTTGGAACCGATGCGAAGCTTCACTGCGAGTTCACAAGACCACCCCACAAAGTGTTGTGGTATAAGAATGGGCAGGAAATTTGGCCACAGGCCAACAAGTATGCTATGACCACCTCGGGAAATACTTCGACTCTTGAGATTCGTAACATTGAGAAGAACGACATCGGGGAGTATTGTGCTGCTCTGAGCGAAAAAGAAGTTTCTGCTCCCAGCCCAGCTCAAGCTCGAAGTGGCCCCTGAAATAGGTAATTCAAGAAAACTTGGAAGATGAGCTGGTGTTCAAAGCCCACGAAGAGCTGGCCTTCCACGTTGAGGTTACCGGCCACCCGACCCCCATTGTCACCATCTTACACAAAGACTCACGAATTCAGAACAGGGCTGAAGTCGAAGAATACGATAACGTCGTTAGTGTCCGCATGAAGAATCTCAGCCGGGATGACTGTGGCACTGTGAAGATCACCGCAGAGAACCCAATCGGAGCTACGCACAAAGAACTTAGGCCTGACTGTTCTCGATGTGCCTTCTGAACCACTGGGTCTGACTTCAGCAGAGACCTCCACAAACTCTACAATACTCTCGTGGCACAATCCCGAGAAAGCTAATGGAGCTCCAATCACCGGCTTCATAATAGAGCGTAAGGCCGTTGACAGCAATCGGTTGGCGTCCCATAGGCAAGACTAAACGCCAGCCACACTACAATTCGAAGCAACGGACTTGTTCAGCAGTCAAGTCTATGGTTTCCGCGTCATCGCTGTGAATTCTGTAGGAGAAGGGGCCACCGAAGTCAGTCGAGTTGATGTTCTCACAAAAGAGGACGAGGAATTGAAGTTGGACTCTTCCGAGAGCTCTCTCGTATCGGTTCTTGACACTCCAGACATCCCCGAGGCGCACTTTGACGGAACAAAGGTGGAATTGTCGTGGAATGCAGTACCTGAAGCCAGCCTATATCAACTCGAGCGACAATGTGATGGAGGCGACTGGCTCGAAATCGCTAAAGTAGACCGTACACATTTCGCGGATTCTTCATTGCAGCAGAACGGCACGTACTGCTACAGAGTGATCGCAAAAGGTTTCACGACCGAGTCCAATCCAAGTGACAGCTCTCCACCTTTAGTAATCGTACTCAAATCAGATGAAAGTGTTGCCGACTCTCGAGAAGCTGATCAGCTCAACGGAGTAGCCCTACATGACGAGTTGGCTTCAGAGGTCAAAGTTGAAGAGAACGGTGAGTTAGCAAAGGTTGAAGCTGTAGCAGATGCTGCAATCGAAAAGATCGAACCGGAGAAGCCTGATGAGGAAAAGAAGAAGAAGAAGAAAGTGGCAAAGAAAAAGGTGAAAGATGTAGAGAAGGGAGCCGATGTTTCAACTGAACAGAAAAAAGAAGACGGCGCTCTAGAAGCGGAACAAACAAAACAAAAAACGGAAAAACTCGAAAAGGAAAAGGAGCAGCCCCCGGCAGACAAGGAGAAGGAAAAAGAGGAAATCAAAGTACTGGAAGATAAGGAAAAGCCCAAAGAGCCGGATGATAAGAAAAAGGAAAAGGAAGTGAAAGCAGAGGATGACAAGGAAGAGAAAAAGGAGGAAATCAGAGTGCTGGAAGAAAAGAAGGAGGATAAGGATAAGAAGAAGGAAAAGGATGACAAGGATAAGAAGAAAGAAAAGGAAGCCAAGGCAGCGGATGAAAGAAAGAGGACAAGGAAGAGGTCAAAGCGGAGGATGAAAAGAAGAAGGACAAGGATAAGAAGAAAGAAAAGGAAGCCAAAGCAGCGGATGATAAGAAAGAGGACAAGGAGGAAGGTCAAAGCGGAGGATGAAAAGAAGAAGGAAAAGGATAAGAAGAAAGAAAAGGAAGCCAAAGCAGCGGATGATAAGAAAGAGGACAAGGAGGAGGTCAAAGCGGAGGATGAAAAGAAGAAGGACAAGGATAAGAAGAAAGAAAAGGAAGCCAAGGCAGCGGATGATAAGGAGGACAAGGCGAAGGTCAAAGCGGAGGATGAAAAGAAGAAGGACAAGGATAAGAAGAAAGAAAAGGAAGCCAAGGCAGCAGATGATAAGAAAGAGGACGAGCAGAAGGTTAAAGTGGAGGATGAAAAGAAGGAGGACAAGAAGGAAGGCTGAGATGCCAGAGTTTGTGGCGACATCGAGCGTTGACACTTTGAACTTGGAATTCGGAAAGAGCGGCGAGGTCACAGTAAAGGCCTCAAGGCCAGCACAATTCCGCTGGACCAAAAATGGCCAGTCCTTGACATCCGACTATACCATCGACGGCGATAAGACCTCAAGTACTGTTCGAATCCCGCCTGCAAACCAAGAAACTGCAGGAGAATACACATGTGCTGCAACTGGTCCCGATGGAAAGTCAGTTACAGTATGCATCACAGTGAAAGTTGGAGGTGAGCCCTTTACACAGCTATAGCATTAGATTTCGTTTACGGAAGACACTTGCAGGGAAACCTATTGTTGAACCAGAAGCTACCTCTGTAACAGTCAAAATAGGGGAAAGCGCTGCACTTTACGCAGGAGTTCGAAGCGGTACACCAGTCAAGTGCGAGTGGACGAAGGACGGCAAAGCTATAAAGGTATTTCCCCGTTGAGATTCTTGCCAGATAGCCTAGGGTTTCAAAGAAACCAAAAATCATCGTAAGAAAAGACTTATTTGGACTCTTGTCAAAATGCCGGGCAATTTTGTAAAGTACATCGAGGAAGATACGAAATGGTGCCTCTTTGTTCTGCATGCCCCTTCTTTGGAATTGTTGGGCTACGGACGGCATTGAGATTAATCCATGCAAAGAGGCGATTCTGAGGTAGATCGATTTGTCTATGCCCAAATGGGAAAAGCTTCGAATTCCCATTAAATAAACTCAGCCTTCCCTGACACGCTCCAGCGTCTGCAACGAACAAACTCTACGCTGCGATGTTGAACAGGTTGGGTCCTGGTGGGAATGCTGAGCACCTCATTGCACCTGCAACGCCTACTTGGCAGCGCTCATGGCTAGTCGGAACTGTCCATGTAGACCCCTCACTTTCGACTCTGCGATCTGGTATTAAGCTAGCACATAAGTATCCCATGAAGACTGGCAGCATTTCGTAGTGCGCAGGAGTCTATAGGGCTTTACAAAATAGTCTGGTACATTTACGAGGATTTAAAAAAATGCCCATCTGGTGAACTAGCTCTGAATGCATTATTTTGAAAAAGCCTTCGTATTATTTTCAAAACGCCTTTGTTCCCCAAAACATTGATAAATTGCAAAAAAGATACTTCAGGATGATCTCATTCAAATTTCCTTAGTTTTCTTGCATAGCTTCGGCTAGCCTAGCCATCCCTTATGCACTAACCCAGGATTGGCTTCTTCGAATTAATCTTTTGATTTCTATTTTCCTTTTCTGGCCTGTAGCCATAACTTAACTAGAATTTTCAGTTGGATGTTACACAGGCTGCCTCTTCGAATGCTGACCGCTAAAAACTAACATTTGGAGCGCTCTCGTCATCAGCACCTCATGACACCCTTCAATACTGTGTGACTTCTTCGCCTGTTCTCGCTTTTGTTCGTGTGTGAACTCTTTGTTATATTTCAGTTGCGTGTGCTTCTCGAGTGCCTTTCAACTCACTTTGCTCATGACTCCTTCATTTTAATGCTTTGTTATGTGTGGAATATATCAAAGTTGGCAACTGTTCGATGACGACGCGAATATGGTCCTATCCATCTCACATTAATTTTTGGAGAGACATAACATCGCTGGTGGTGAGACCCCTACGATCACTATATTTCCCATGTAATGAGAAGTGCGCTATTAACTCCGGGCAGCTTTCTCTTACAACGTCAAATCGTGGGGCATTACATCCGCGTTGCGGCAATGTAGCGAAAGTAACGTTGAGAGCGGCGTCACATGTGCGACAACCGCGTCAGGACTCAACTGATTTAGTGTAGCAGTGCTACAGTGCTAGTCGGTCGAGTGACTAGCTAGTAGCAGTGCTAGTCGGTCGAGTGACTAGCTAGTATATATCGGTTCGCTCACGTTGCCGCAACGTAGATGTAGTGTCTCACATTTCGAATGACTATTAACGAATGCCTATTACAACTTTGCTACCTCAACAAATTGTACATAGAAAATGAAATAAAAGAGATTATTAACTTCACCTTCCATAAATACAAATAATTACGCATATAAAGACTTGAACTAAACTGAAATCACGAGAAAATTTCAAGTACACAAATTGTTACTACAGATGCTTTGCTCTACATAAGCTGTAGTTACTCAGCCACAATTACCTTGAGAATGAATTTAATATTAGTTAAGTTCACCTAGATGTTAGAAGAATTATATTAATCTTTAGGGCACGCTTCGCGTTCATTTGATGTTCAGACGCCTTTTTTAAACATGGTAGTCCTGCCCGCAAGCTTTCGCAGTTGAAAAATAGGTGTGGAAAAGACTACCCTCTCGCGCGGAGGCCACGCCCTACCCACTGGCCACGGCAACGCCCAGGTTTCAGTTCTAAAGGTATCCTGTTGGTGCCGCTGTTCCATTGCTGACACTCGTCATTTCCAAAGGTGAGAGTGAGGTGATAAGGGAAAAACTGGCACCAACAAGTAAACTCGTCCATTTACGCCTCTTCGCTTCATGCACGTACACTGCGGATTAGTATGGGTCTCTAGATGGGGCATTTCGGGCTGGTTTTCGCTGTTTTCCTTCACTTGAGTGTTGTTCGACATCTTGGGCTTGTATTCGAGCCACACAACTGACCACTTTTGATCGCGGGGCGTGCCTGTCATGCCAGCCATAACCAGCCCTCTGGTCAACAGTGGTGTAGACCGCTGACACCGCAAACCCCGTGGAAGTTCTCAGAAACATAAAGGGGGTTGACTGAAGTTCATCGCGTCAAAGTGATTTCCAAGGAGATTGTGTACTTTCGTAGTGGCTTATAAGTGAAAAATACGGCTTCCCTGGCGTGATGTCATCTTCGAACGTGCGGTCCTCCCATCCTCCCTGCTTGCAGTCTTCCGGGGCGACTTGGCGCGAAGGGGAAACAAAATGCGGCGTGACAATCCAATACAAATAGGGTTTACTTCATTGGTCCTTACATTGGTGAGAGCGAAAAGGTGTTTCAAGCGGGCTCGCGCTCTCACCAGGACCCATCGAAGGGGAGGGAGCAGTCGCCCGGCGCGACCGCACTGCCGTTTACTCATTCTGACAAGTGATGGTGCTCGCCCACCAAGTTGGAACTCTCCCAAATCACTAACTTTAAGTTTTTGCAAATGGTAGCCAAGAAAAACATGGCTGTTAACCTTAATGCCCATGTTTCTTGACGTCCGTCTCCTAATGATTACCTGGTAAAATGAACCAGCTTAAAATTTTGGACGAGTTGCCCTGCCTGGGAAGCAGTTTGCTTCACACGTTTTAACACGTCAGGTCGGTAGCAAGCGATCTGGCAAAAACGGCATATCCTCCCCCCTCCCAGTGCTGCGCAGTGCCATGTCAACCAGTTAGGTGATACTCCGCTAGTTCGCGTGTGATGCCAGGAATATCGACGTGCACTACTTCAACTCGGTCGAGCTACATAGATAAGGATTAATAAGGCACTAAACCTATTATGCATGAAAACGGAGCTCATGTACGAACCCATTGTTGGCTGTTAATTTGTACTCCTGTGCATCCATACTTTGCGGCAGCGTTTTGAGCGCTCAAGAAAGTATAGGCATCGATTATCGAAGGGAACACTAGCGGACGCTCAGAACGCTGGAGCGATAAGTATGCCTTCCTAGTAAATCAAAATGCTCTAAACGCCGACAGAGTCTCAAAATCTGCCGTGAAGTATGAACGCACCCTTTAGGAGTGGCAATCAATAAGCGAAGTGATGCGCACAAAGTGAGACTTTCAAAAATTGAAATAACGTACCGATTGCACAAAGAATCAGCCACTGTCTAGTTCAATGCGCACGAAGCGGCGTGTCAGGCGGGATGAGTTTGGCCCGGTGCCAAACCTGTTCTCCACTAGCTGCTGAAGCGAGCAAGACAAGACTGTTTTTTGTCGCATACCTTCAACAACTGCTAGGGAACGGGTTTGGCACCGTGGCGCGCTCACACTGCTTGACACGCCCCTTCATCCGCTGTTAACTAGAGTTTAACAATCATGAAAAACACGAACATCGAGAAAATTCATGATGAAGGTGAAACAATGAGGAAATTATGGGTGCGTTTGACGATATTGATCGCGCAAAGCTGCGCATTAGGCGCTGACACTAGGAGTATATATCCAGAGGTTCCTTTTCGCGCTCAAGAAAAAAAAATCTGTAGACCAAGCGTTAAGTGTCACAGAAGAACATCAAGTAGTTAGGCCTTTTTTCCACATGTCGCCGCACAAAACTCAGGCCGCGCTGATACCCTGCGACAGCTAAGAGTTGGAGATCGATCAATACACTTACCCATCTTTACCGCGATTTCTTCGATTGTGCAGTGTCGCAAAGTATAAACGCAGTCTCAGTTTAAGTAGTTTCCAAGTTCGCCCTGCGAGAGCTTTGCTGGATGTACTCGCTGAATGATGCTAGTGGTTTTACACCAGAAGCAATAAGTCATTAAGCCGCTTTCATATACTCCTCCTTTGGGAAAGTTGCAGAATCGATGAAGTCATGAAAGTGACTGGATACCCACTGATCAGTGACCCCGCTAAATCGAAAAGTTCGTATTCCACCAAGTAATGTACAATGTTGATTTGCCTGAATCTCACCTTTTTTTGCGGATCCTACAACCTTCCGCTCCTCTGATTCGTCGGTTCACCAGTTGGGTGGAGTCGAATCTACCAGTGATCAAATTTTCCAACTCTCCACATCGATGTGTATTTGGCGCCAATTCCACGCGAGAACCCCGCCCCTCTCCAAGGCTAAGCAGCACGCAAATAGTGTTACGGCATCGCAGTGGACCACTTGTTACATAGGACTATCCTGGGTTAAGAAATCGCAATTTCGGTAGCGATTTTTACGCTTAATGTTGGTTTTTATGAACTATGACAACGTTAACACATCTTCCAATGGCTTGGCGCTAAAGCAGTTGAAGGGAGCGTGAGACGTTACCTCTCAGTCGAGGAACCGGCTTCCAGTGAAAAAGGCGTTTCAAGCGGAGTGACGTGCGCAGCATCCGCACTAGGACCCAACCCACTCAACTGGCAGCGGCGCTGCACGTCGGCTCTTTCTCCCAGATCAACTCTGTGCACTGCGATACTAGGACTGGAAACAGCCAGACGAGCTCCATAGTAGCGCTCCACACCCCCTGGAGGGAGCCCACACGGCTCCCTGACTCCTTAGATCATTCGTGTTCGCTTAAGAGTGAGCCTAGGAAGGGGAGGATAGGATCACTATCTCGATCAGAAGACAACCAACAAAACAAAACGCAAACAAAACAACCGGACTCGCCGTGGTCGTCCTACTCTCAGAGGGTGGCTCCCCCCAACCACAAGCTGCAACTTGGTCTCGAAATGTTCCACATTCTCGTTGTTTTCCGGCCAACAAAAAAAAACCGAAACGTCTCTTCAGAGGTGGGAAGACATCTTTCATTGGAACACAAGAAAACATCAGCACTCAATCAAACCCGAGACGCCCTGATCTTCTGCGAGCTTCAACGAACACGAACGATGAGAAACGCGCTCTAGCACGCACCGCTTTTTGTGAGCGACTATTTGATATGCGTTTAAACCCACTACTACCTAACCAGTAGTGCCTCGTCTTCTTTCTGGAGCCCATTCGTACCACGAACGAGTTTTCTTTCTGAACTGCGATGTGATGAATGTCACTCATCAATATTTCCCGAACTTCTGTTGGTGCGAGTCGGTCAGGTTGACAGGGTCTCAAAGGGTTCTCTGTACAAAACAGAGATGAAGGAGACAGGATCCGAGAATTTTTGCTTAGGCCTGGGAAATAAGGGGTTCCTAAAAGTTAACCAATTTCTTGGACGAAATCTATGTAGTTCCAGGACATCCGCAACCGAGGGTAAGCCGTTTGGCGCGATTTCATTACAGCATACGTATCATGACTCATCAGACAAAGCATTCACTAGATAGGAAAGCTCATTGAAGACTTCGGGGAATTACGCCTCTCCTATAGTTTGGTGTAGACTCGTGTCATTAACTGCCAAACACGTCCATAGCAGGGTGATGCAAACGATCGCCTCCCTAGTCGCGGCATCGCGTGAAAGTAACAGGAGTATTTCCCAGTTAGATGACTTGACGCACCGCAACATGTCACCTTGTATGGGTCCTGGTGCGAATGCACCATAGTCTCCGCAACTCCTGTGTGCTGAACTGCACCCATGTAAAGAAAAAAAATGCATTTTTTTCATTCCCCATTTCACAAAGCTTTTCTTTGCATGCCCCTAGGAAGGCTTCGCGCTAGAGATCGGCATACTATTGGGTTGGCACATAAGTACTTTCGTTTTTTTTCAACCGGAAATTTCGTTCCAAAGATGAAATGTTT